GTGGTAGGTGCTATGGTGATCCTCCTTCTACAGGTGAGGAAGCTGAGGCTCAGGGAGGGGAAGCACACCTGAGGGGGGACTCACGTGCCCTCCTGCCTCGCTCAGTCCTGGAATTCCTATTCCTTACTCCCCCGCGTCTACTCAGTTCAGCCAGATTCTTTCCTCTCAGAATGTCACTTCCCCTTCGCTCTATCAGAGAGCAGTGTCCCCCAGAAGCCCAGTATCCTGGGCTTGATGCTCCTTTTTCTCACTCTTAGGTTCCTACATCAGCCCCGCGCCCCTTCCCTGTCTCCAGGCAGATGATGACATTTCCCTTGGCTTTGGCCCCGCTGCCCTTAACAGGTGGCACATCACTAAAGCTCTCAAATTCTGTAGAGACACCTGCACACAGCCTCAGCTGATCTGCGCTGTGTCCTAAGCCCCGTCCCACCTTCCCCGGCTATGAGGTAAGGAGGGAAAATACAAATGCAGCCCTCCAGCGGTGGCTCACGAGGGAAACTGGGACACCAACATGACTCAGACACAGTGGGACAGGGTCGCTGGTCATCTGGAGGGTATGGTGGCAAGCAGAAGCTGAGGACACTGTGGTCCAAGACTGATGGCCGCCTTGCACACACCAGCCCAGGCTCGAGAAGACCGCTGAAGAGCTCGCTCAGCATGGACACATCAGAGGGAATAAAAGGACATTCCACACCCATGTGTCAGACGAGGATTTAAGAAGAGTTCACTACAATGAGGGCTCCTAGGCGAGACGCTAAAATACCCAAATGCCACCCAAGAGTGATCCCAGACCTGGAAACAAAGACCCCAAAGTCTCATTGCACGAAGAATACACAATGAGTAAAAGCAGGAAGCAGAAGAGATGGGGGCCAATGATTCAACTGGCAATGCAGGGGAAAAGTAAGAGTCACAGTGAGTGCAGGTGAAGATGCAAAGGGTCACAGCAGAAGTATTAGTATGACTGAACTAGAAAGCTCAACGGTTAAGGTGAAACAGAAAACAGGATATAAGATGGCAAGAATAAGCCTGAAATGTACTGATGATCCCAAGTGTGAAGAGGTTAAATTCCCCTGGTAAAAGATGCACAGATTGTGTGACATGCTTTTTAAAGAAAAATAACTACATGACAGCTCGAAAAACATTAGCAAGGAGTCAAAATATTATAGGAGAAGGTCAATCAAGAAAAGCAGGTGTGTGGGGACCCTGGGTGGCTCAGTCTGTTCAGCGTCCGACTCTCGATTTCCGCTCAGGTCATGATCTCGGCATCCTGAGAGGATCTCCACATGGGGCTCCACACTCAGCAGGGACTCTACTCAGTTTTTGTGTGCCTCAGACTGCTCTGAAAAAATAAAACCTATGAAAACAAAAAAGGCAGTAGACATGGAGCATTTGAACAGAAAGGCTGGTTTAATCCATGCTATAGTAGAATAATGTCCCCCACAAAATATAGGTTCATGTCCTAACCCCTGGCACCAGTGAACACGACTTGGTGTGGAATAGGGTCTTTGTAGGTGCAATCAAGACACAAATTAAAGTGAGGTCAGAGCAGAGGAGAGTGAGCTGTTAACCCAGTATGACTGATGGGCTCACAAGCAGAGGGGAGAGGCGCAGAGGACTGCAGCCGCAGAGAGACGGAGCGGGGAAGCTGCGAGCCAAGGAAGGCTAAATGTGGGTGGCCACCACTGGATGCTGGAAGACGCAGGGAGGGTTCTTGTAGAATCTCAGAAGGAGCGTGGCCCTGCCAACACCTGCATCTCTGACTTCCAGCCTCCAGGACTGGGAGAAAACAAATTTCCATTGTTTTCAGCCACTCGCCTTCTGGTACTTGGTTATAATGGTCATCAGACACGAATCCAATCCCAATATTTAGTGTGCTGTTACTGACACACAGGTAGAGACTTGGTCCTCTTAATTGGTATCTCATCTACATCCAATAAACACACCGAATATGTTCGGCCATCGCAATACACCCTTAATCACCTATAGCTGGATGAAAACCATGTCCATCACCTCCAAAAAGTCCCCTCCTGCCCCTTGTCCAGACAACTACTGCCACCTTCCTCCGTGGCAGCCACTGTCTAGGATCAGTCACTATAGAGGGGTATTGCCCCTGCTTGGATAGGACACCCGGAATCCGACAGCCTGTGTGCTCTTGGGTCTGGTCTCCGGCTCAGCATGATGTTTTGGAGACTCATCCAAGTTCCTCATGCATCTACAGTCCATTTCTTCTCTGTGCTGAGGAGTTTTCCACTGTGTGAATGCTCTGCTTTGCTTGTCTGCTCTTCTCTTGGTAGACATCTGAATTGTTTCCAGTTTGGGGCTTTATCAACAATGCTGATAGAAATGTTCCTGTACAAGTCTTTTTGTGGACATGTGTTTTCAGTTCTCTTGGGCAAATACCTGAGAGTGAAACTGAGGGTTTACAGGGTAGGTGTATATTAACTTTCTAAGAAATTGCCAGACATTCTCCAAATTTTGTACCATTTCGCATACATTCCTTGCAACTGCCCATAATAATGTTTTGAATGATCCATCAGGAAGCCATAAAAGAAGTTCAACAACTCCCCAGAGCTGAAATTGTGCACTCGCTTGATTCTTGCTACGAAACTATACATCCACAAACACACAACTAAAGGATAGCAACAGGAATCACAACCAACTATTGCAAGTTTTCAGGTTTCTTCTAAATACTTTTGAGTTAAAGAGGAAATAAAAGCAGAGTATTTAGAAAGGAGTGACAATGTGGACACTGGCTAGAAACACCCAGGACCACAACTTACTTGCGCTGTACTCAGAGGGAAAGTCAAAGCCACATGCTTTTCTTAGAAACAAGAAGCATTCCCAACAAACGACTCTGTTAACAGATAATCTTTGATACTCATGCAAAAAGATCAGAATGAAGGAGATAGCACAAATAAACAGCATTAGAGATAAGATGGTCTGATTTTAGATTATGCAGATTGAAAGTTACTGTAAAGCGAAAATCCTGTTCTTTTTGCCAACAAATTTGAAAGTCAACGTGAAGTGGACAACTTTCCAAGAGAATGTAAATGATCAAACTTGACTCAAGAAGTAGAAACTTGAACATGACTCTTGAAGGAACTGCATGTACCAGAGAAAGAATGAGAAGAACCCACCAGGTATTACCGCCATAGATGACAGTAGGTTCCACAGGCTTTTTGAGCAAGAACAAAAACCTCGAGATGATTCAAATATCCCAGAGCATAGAAAATAAGGTTCTGTATCCAATCTCCCAGACTCTCTGGACCACGATGGCAAAGACTCCCGAGGAGATCCCAAACGACCGCCATAGATGGGTCATCCTGGTGACTACAGACAGAAGAAAGAAGAAACCAAGATGGTGGAGTAATGCGGCATGACCAAGCAGGGTCAATCCCAGATCTGTGAGAGTAACAAAGTCCAGAAATAAGGACTTTGCATTTATAAGTCACTTACATTAGCAGTAAGAGAAAGGTTAGATGATTCTCACAGTAGACTACAAAAAGACTTGACCCAACTCAAAATCCACTCCTGATTTAAGGGAAAAAACTACAGTTCTCATTTAGCAAGACCAGAGGGAAACAGTCTCAACGTACCAAGAGAGGGTACTGGGCAAAAACTACAGGAACAGTCTCCTGCGCTGAATCTCCAGCGACATTCCACTTCAAGAAAGAAAGACAGCAGGGCCAGCCCGGGCCAGCAATGGAGACTCCGCGGGGCACTGACTGTGGGTGACTCTGGCTGGACACGGTCTGGGGAGCTAGTCTTGAATTGTTATTTCATTTAAGACCAAGGGAGTGTAAACTTTCTGCACCAGAGGGGGGGGATGCTCAAGGCAACGTGCTCCAAGGCATGAGAACAACAGACAAGAACAGGGAGAGAGAAAATGAGCCGAAAGTGAAAGAAATGGGGAAACTCCGATTGTTTGTTTTCAATCTCAAGAGCCGGTTTCTTCAACAAGCAATTTTTGAAGGAAGTGTTAAGAGTTAGTTGGACAGTTAGGTAGTCAGGCTCAGGGTCCCCAACATGAAAATATGGAGTTGGGACAGCTAAGATAAAACAGCACTAACATCCTGTTTTGCAGCTCAGATAGGACCACACTAACATTCTGCTTTGCAGCCTTTGCAGAAATGACTTCTGCAAAACGTCCTAAAATAAGGCAATTAACCACAAGGCATTTGTCCCTATCATGGGTAAGGGGCAGCGAAGACATAAGCCCTCAGATGTCAGCAAAAAAAGATCATCAACACATTGTTATTAACCTAATAGGTAGACAGATACAGGATCAAAGCCCTGATTTGCAGGACTCAGCATGCCCTGGTTGCTTAAGATAGTTTTGCAAAAGAGCTCATAAAAACCCCTAAACTTAGAAACTCCAGGGAAACCCTCTCAGGCCCCCCTCCCATTTGGGCCCCCCTCCCTCTCTGGGAGCTTTACACTCTTGCTCAATAAACTTTGCTTTGCTGCCCACCACTCTTCATCTGGTCTACCTCTTCATTCTTCGAAGCGGCGAGACCAAGAACTGCGGGCACTAAAGGCAGAGAATTACTGCAACAGAAGGATCTTGTGTGTTGTGTTCTGTGAGCTCTCACCTGCTCGGGAAGGGCCAAACAGGCACACAGGGAGGATGGCCTGCAGAGATGGGGGCAGTTTTGGGGGCACGCACCAGCCCTCGAGGAGCACCCATGGCCGCAAGCAAAACCCCAGGTGCTGGGGGAGAGTAAGCGGCAGTCTCCATCCCAGCCTCAGAAGAACCAGCCCTGCCTTGTGAGCCTTCGGGTGGACGGGAGGGGCGCTCTGGGCACCACTGCTCAGCTCAGCACAATTCTGATGAAAACTCCAACCAGGGGTACCTGGCTGGCTCAGTCGGTTAAGTGTCTGACTCTTGATTTCGGCTCAGGTCATGATCTCAGGGTCATGAGATCGAGCCCCTAGTCAGTCTCCACAGTGGGCATGGAGCCTGCTTAAGATTCTCTCCATCTGTCCTACCCCCAACTCTCGCCTGCATGCTCTCTCTCTCTCTCTCAAAAACATAAATAAATAAATGAAATTATATTAAAACTCCAGCTGGCTCCTTTCTGTAATTTGACAGAAGATTTAAAAGTGAGATGGAAATGCAACAGGCCAAGAGCAATCAAAATACTCTTAAAGAATCAGGTGGGAGGACTTGCCGGACCAGATAGCAAGATTTGATTATGGGCCTAGAGTAACGAAGATGGTGTGTTATCGCCACAAGGACAGACCAATAGACAAACCCAGGCACATGGGGACAGTTGACAGTAGGAGGCTGAAGATTGTGCAAGTCAGGGAAAAGAACTTTCCCGGAAGTTTTCAAACATGTTTTCAATAAGTGGTGCTCAGATAATCATTATCCAGAGAAAGGAAAATTAAATCAAATCCTTACATTAAAAGCACACACAAGTCATTATCAGTAGATTAAAGACCTAAGTGTGAGGCAAAAACATAAAGCTTTTGGACACTATCTTCTAACATAAGACACTATCTTCATGATTTCAAAGCAGGAGATGAGTTCTTAAATTTACCTATGTTAAAAGAGTTGAAGTAGCAACATACAAACTAGAAGAAGAGATTTTTAGCATGTGTCTGAAAAAAGTACTAACACCCAAAACACAAAACAAACTCCCCAAAACCCATAAGAAAAAGACAAACAACCCAGAGCAACAAGCTATCATACACCCAAACCAAACCCAGAAAAGTGCTTTCAGGCTGGGCCTCTCCCATTGTCTGGGTACAGGGTACACCAGGTGTTTAGGGGTCATGTTTTGAGAGTCTCTGGGCATAAGGCACTGTGGTAGGTACTGACCTATAAGAAGAAGAAGTCTTAGCTTCTGCCCTCAGGAGCTCACATTGTAATGAGCAAGACCAATGGGCAATGTGAGCAGAATGGCAGCAGATCTGGCCAAAGGAATACACTAAGTGCTTTATAGGGATGCAGAGCGAAGAGCAGTGCATTTCAATAGGAGGAGGAAGACACAATCAAAGAAACCTTCCAGGGGAAGGTGAACTTGTGGGCATCATGAAGGATGAGCCCAGGTTCAATACAAGGAAGAGTGGTGGGAGCCTCTCCAGAAGAGGAAACCAAGGCCCAGGGACTCATCCATAGCATCAAATCTTTGGTTGATCCCTTGACCAGGGGAAGACCTGCTAAAGCTGCAGCCTTGGATGGAGATCTCCTGGGCCCTGGGCTCTTCAGTTCCAGATTTCCGCATGATTCTTGGGCACCGCCACGTAGCGCAGTTTCCTGAGGAAAGGAGGCCTCTGCAGCATCTGTTCATCCCACAGGTACTCTGGGGACAGCACCTTGGTGGGCTTGTGGTAGAGAAGGTACTTGTTCAGGTGGCTTTCGTCGTGCCACACGGCCTCGATCCCGTTGGCCCGGTCGACCACCATCGCCTGGTGACAGGCCGTGGTCAGCTGGAGAACCTCGACCACTGAACCCCCAAAAAAGCCTCCTGCGTAGTAAAAGTCACCCTCATCTCTCGGAATGTAGGCCTGGAACTGTAGACGGCGCTCGTAGGTGAAGGCCTCGCAGGCCGCCCTGTAGAAACCGGGGTACAGGGTGCCGAAGAGGGGGGACAGGATCTCCACACCCACGTGGTCGCTGAACTTCATGTCCACGTCCATACACACCAGGTAGTCCACCTCGAGGAGGAAGCGCTGCTGCGAGAAGTTGCTAATCATCTCCATGCAGTGCATGGACACATCCTGCCAGCGCGAATAGTTTCGGACCTCCAGGACCACCAGCTGTCTCCCTTCCGCGAGGGGCACCCTGGGCACATCGGTGGGCCGGTTGGTGAAGACATAGTAGGTGACCCTGTGTCCCACCATGAAGTGCTTCTCTGCCGTCTGCAGGAACAGCTCCAGGAAGACCACGTATCTAAGGCCAAGAACAAGCATCCCAGGAAAGGGAGGGTGGGCATTAAACAGAATCAGACAGCAGCAGAAAACCAGACTTGGGCAAAACCAGCTTCTAATACCATGCCACGCCTTGAAGACATCATGCTAAGTGAAATAAGCCAATGGCGAAAGTCAAGCACTGCCTGATTCCACTTCAAGGGGGTCTCTAGAATGGGCAAATTCAGAGAAACAGACACCAGAGGCTGGGGGGGGGGGGGCCATGGGCAGCTAGTGTCTAACGGGCACAGAGCTTCAGTTTTGCAAGAGGAAAATGCTTGTGAAGATGGGCAGCCCCTATTGGTGACACAACAATGCAAATTGGTAACACTACGGAAATCTGCATTGAAATAGTTAAGATGGTAAATATTATGTGCATTTTACTACAATGAAAAATCAAAACAGAAAAATAAAAACCATAGCCAATCTACTAGCTAAAGACAGTGTATCAACTGGATAGTAAGGGGAGGCATTCAGATTGCTTGGTATGGAGCACTTAGCCTCAACCATAAGGTATTTTCTTAATCCATGAGGTTGGCAAAAATTCAAATGATGGGTAATATCTAAAGGTTGATCTCTCCCAACTCATGACCCTCCAATGGCTTCTTCTCCTTAAGAAAAAAGCAAATCAAGATCCTACAGTGGTCTACCAGACCCCACAAGATCTGCCTCTGACCTCATCTCCTCCCCTCTGTCCTCCATCTTTTTGCCTGGGCAGGCGTCTCTTTGATGTTCCTGACACAGGCCAGGCATGCTCCTCTGGCCCTTTGTACTTCCTATTCTCTCAGGCTGGGATCCTTTCCCTGCAATGCTCACCCCTACAGTAGCTCCCATCCTTTGACTAATGCCCAGAACTATCCGTGCCCTATAGCTCCTCCTGCTGGCACCAGCAGAGGCTAGCTGGTGTAAAAACACAGCAAGCTGTGCACTTGACCCGTATATTTATATGGGTGGAAATCAGAACTCAAGAAGAAGGAGCAAATAAATACACAAATAAATATGAAAAGAAACCACTGACACAGTCTTAATTATCTTAGAGCCCAAATCACCATCGAACATATTTTATAATTGAGTTTCACTTTTTCTTCTGTCTTTCCCCACTCGAATAAAGCTCGGCAGACACAGGGCCTTTCCGTGGTTTGGGAACTGCCTTATCCCTTTGTCCACACATAGTAAGTGTTTAGTAAAGACCTTTGTAACAAACAAGTAAGGGAATACTTCTGGGTGTGGTTAAGGGTAAGGGAAGGCAGACACTCTCATTTGCCACTAATGAAAATATCCATTTTTACAATCCTTTCAGAGGGCATATGAGAAAATATATCAAAACGTTAAAGATTTATATATTTATTTATTATTTATTTGTGGGGGGGAGCAAACTCCCCACTGAGCACAGAGCCCGACATGGGGCTTGATCCCACAACCCTGAGATCATGACCCGAGCCAAAATCGAGACTGACTGAGCCACCAATATATCAAAACTTTAAATGTGTACGTTCCTTTCCCAATTCCACTTCCAGGACTCTACCCCACAGACCTCCTCAAATGTCTGCACAAAGACCCAAGTATAAAAGTTTACAGGCAGTGCACATCACAAAATGGTGTGGAGCATGGGAGCTGCCGACCTTCCATATATTGTGGGTGGGGGTGTAAAATGCTACAACTAACTTGCGAAAATGTCACGTTGTTTTACAAAACTATATATGTATCTGACCTAGGACAGAGCAATTCACCTCCTGGATGTTTAATCAAGAAAAAATAGGAGGAGCAAGATGGCAGAGGAGTGGGAGACCTAAATTTTGTCTGGTCCCAGGAATTCAGCTAGATAGGGGTCAAACCATTCTGAACACCTATGAACTCAAAAGGAGATCGAAGGAAAGAATAGCAGCAACTCTCTGAACAGAAAAGCGACCACTTCCGTAGGACTTGCGGAGAAGTGAATCCGAGGCGATATTCGGATATTCAGGAAGATAGACCTCGGGGGGAGGGAGCCTCCATCAGCCGGCTGCTGGCTACCGGCAAGTGACAGAGCCCCAGAGCACAAAATCGGAACTTGTAGAAGTCTGCTCCGCTGAGGGACGTCACTCCAGTGGCTAAGCGGGGGGTGGAACCCTCCCTGGGACAGTGTGGTCTCAGGACCCTCGGGGTCACAGAAAGACCAGGGGTGCCAGAGGGCAGCAGAGCTCCCAGGTATCGGAGCAGGGAAGCCAGCCACAGAGATGGAGCCGAGGGGTGGGCTCTCAGCTCGGGGTTGCCATAAACCGTGATCCGTGGCACAGTCGGGCCACTGCTCCTCCAGCAGGGACCCAACAAGTGGCAGATCGGGGGAGACTCCCCTTCCTCCCCCAGGAGGAGCGACGCCAGAGCGCAACCCAGGGATCTGCTGGGTTTGGAGACTCCACATGGGGTCGGGTGCCAGAGATAGAAACGCTTGGTCACAGGCCGGGTGAGCACGGAGTGCGGCCAGAGACCAGGGAGACGGGAGTGACTGACTGCTTTTCTCTGGGGGCTCACTGAGGAGTGGGGCCCCAAGTTCTTGGCTCCTCTGGGGCGGAGATTGGGAGGCCACCATTGTCACTCTTGTCCTCCAAAGCTGTACGAAAAGCTTGCAGGGAACAAAAGCTCCCGAGAGCAAACCTGAGCAGATGACTTAAAACAGACCGGGCAAGGGCGGGGCAATTCCGCCTCCGGCACAGACATTTGGGAACCACGGCAACAGGTCCCTCCCGCAGAAGATCAGCGAGAACAGCCAGCCAAGACCAAGTTTACCGATCAGTGACAACAGCAAAACCCCAGCATTAGGGGAATGCTGCACATAGAATTCATGGCTTTTTACCCCATGATTCTTTAGTCTTTCAAACTTAATTTTTTAAATTTTCTTTATTTTTTCTTTTTCTATTTTTTTTTTGAATTTTTCTTTTTCCCTTTTTCAAGCTACATCTTATCAATTCCTTTTTTAAAAATCTTTCTTAATTTTCAATTTTAGAGTCATATTCTATCTCTTCATTGTAGTTAACTTTATTTTTTGTGTATATATAAGTTGTTCTCTCTTTAAAATTTTAGGAGACAGTTTCTTCCAATAGAACAAAATATACCCTAAATCTTTAGTATATGGCCTTGTTCTAGTTTCCTGCCATATCACATTCTCTCCCTTTTTTTTTAATTTTTCTTCTTTCTTTTTTCAACCAACTTCTTTTTTTTTTTTTAAAGATTTTTATTTATTTATTTATTTGAGAGAAAGAGAATGAGAGACAGAGAGCATGAGAGGGAGGAGGGTCAGAGGGAGAAGCAGATTCCCTGCTCAGCAGGGAGCCCGACGCGGGGCTCGATCCCAGGACTCCAGGATCATGGCCTGAGCTGAAAGCAACCGCTTAACCAACTGAGCCACCCAGGTGCCCCATTCAACCAACTTCTTATCAATTCCTTTTATAAAATCTTTTATAATTTTCATCTTTACAGTCATATTCCATCCCTTCATCGTATTTACCTTATTTTTGTACATATGTAAGTTTTACTTTCTTTAAAATTTTGGGAGGCACTTTCTTCTAACAGACCAAAATATGCCCAAAATCTAGTCTGTGGCTCTGATCTATTCACCAGCCCGATCATATTCTCTCTCTCTCTCTTTTTTTTTTTTGTGTTCCCTTTCTTTTCCCCCCGGTTTTGGGTCTCTTCTGATTTGTTCAGTGTATATTTTTCTGGAGTCCATGTTACCCTTTTAGCATTTTGTTCCCTCATTCATCTATTCTCCTCTGGACAAAATGACAAGACGGAAAAACTCACCTCAAAAAAAAGGAACAAGAGGCAGTACCGACTGCCAGGGACCTAATCAATACGGATATTAGTAAGATGTCAGAACTAGAGTTCAGAATGATGATTATAAAAAACTAGATGGGTTTTGAAAAAAACATGGAAGATACTAGAGAATTCCTTTCTGGAGAAATAAAAGAACTAAAATCTTTTTAGTCGAAATCAAAAAGGCTACTAATGAGGTGCAATCAAAAATGGAGGCTCTAACTGCTAGGATAAATGAGGCAGAAGA